CTGGGACTCTGAGGAGCACAGGGCCTGACCTCCTGCTGGGACTCTGAGGAGCACAGGGACTGGCCTCATGCTGGGACTCTGAGGAACACATGGCCTGACCTCCTGCTGGGACTCTGAGGAGCACAGGGCCTGACCTCCTGCTGGGACTCTGAGGAGCACATGGCCTGACCTCCTGCTGGGACTCTGAGGAGCACAGGGCCTGACCTCCTGCTGGGACTCTGAGGAGCACAGGGCCTGACCTCCTGCTGGGACTCTGAGGAGCACAGGGCCTGGCCTCCTGCTGGGACTCTGAGGAGCACAGGGACTGGCCTCCTGCTGGGACTCAGAGGAGCACAGGGACTGGCCTCCTGCTGGGACTCTGAGGAGCACAGGGACTGGCCTCCTGCTGGGACTCTGAGGAGCACAGGGACTGGCCTCCTGCCGGTCCCAGAGTCAGGACTAAACATGGGGAGGCTGCATTTCAGGTGCATGCCCCAAAAATCGGGAACAGCCTTCCTAATGATTTACGGGAGGCCTTATCTCAAGCATTATTTAAGTCTAAGCTGAAAACCGTTCTTTTTAGCTGTGCAAATGACTTTGTTTTATATATTGAGTTTTTAAAGAGTTTTAATTCTGAAATTCAGTCTGAAATGTTTCTTTTCATAGCAACATTTTTTTTCTCTATGTTTCAATATGTTTGTAAAATACACTTGATTGATTTATTACATAATTTAAGGATTAACATACCTTATCACAATGTGTCCAATGACAACATCAGACTTTACAACCCCGCCCTACAGATGACAGAGAATATTCTTTGTAGATTCCACGGAGCTTTCACTGCACTACATTATCCAAAAACTTTGTTCTTTGTGAACTTTTCCACCGCATAATCAGGCGTCAAAGCCAGGAACGTACTCCCTCTCTCATCCTCTCCGAAAGTGCCAGCCCCAAAAAGCAAACTTAATTTATTTATCGACTCTGGAAATAGTTGAAAAGTGTGCCTGTGCAGTCATTAAAGACAGCGGAATAAAGCGCAGCCGTAAATAAGCGTAATGATCTTGAAAATTAAATCAAAAAGTGTTTACCGTAGGAAGGCAGACTGTCATTAGGACCGAATCCACAGAGTCATTGCAGGAAAACGCAAGCAATATTTACACTTGATGAAAACAGTTTGGACAGGGAAAGTTTGAACGGGAAGGTGGGAAGAATACATTAACTTAATGACAGGAGCTTTTTCAATTTGTTTGCATTCACCAGTCAGATAGTTTGGATTCAGAGCTGCCTTCAGGAGACGTCGCCTTGTTACATGCTTGATTACAAATGTGCCTGAAAATGCAAACAGGCAAGACAGGCAAGAATATCATCATACAATTCAATTCCATGTATTCTTGTATAGCCCTAAATCACAACATTAGTCTTTTGAATGTGCTGGAAAACGGTTGCAAGTCCCAAACAGCTCTGAAACAAGTGTTGTTTTTTGCTTTTGAATACAGTCATCAAAATATCATACAACATACCCTGCTTTTTTTGAACAAAATGTTATTTGTAGGCTCGAAAGAACAGATGCAGAGTCAGAACACACTACTACCTGCCTGGTGTTTGAATGCTCGATCCATTTCAGTGCAACCAAAATTGCTGCCATTTCCACTGTATAAACTGCCAGTCCATTAGTAGTACGTCGGTTTATTCCAATATTTTTTGACGGGACCGCTATTCCAAACCCAGTAAATTCATTATCTGGATTTTTTGCACCATCTGTGAACACATGCGTGAATTCAGAGTATTCGGCCAAACTGTGAAAATGAAATGCTGCGACCAGATCCACTCTCCCTTTCATTTTCTTTTTTTTTTCAAGAAGGTACCAGTCCACAGAAGGGGTTACAAATAACCATGGAGGAACACCAGGGAACACTAATACTGGACACATTTTTAACTCAGACACATTACAGTCTTTAGCCCACTGATTCCCCTCCTTTCCAAAATGATTCTTCTGACATTTCCCATATTCCCAACACTCCCAAAGCACCTCTTTTGTGGGATGTGAGTCACCATGGCATCCAAGATGAACCCAGTAGTTCACAGATATTTGCTTCCTTCTGAGGTCCAGAGGCATTTCCCCCATTTCCACCTGCAAGGCATTGACTGGTGATGTTTTAAAAGCTCCGCAACATACTCTCAGGGCTTGCGACTGCAGAACATCCAATCTTTTCAAAACTGAAGAAGCTGCTGACCCGTATGCCACACAACCATAGTCTAAGATAGACCTAATTAATCCTTGGTATAGTCTCTTTAAAGCAGAACAACTTGCTCCCCATTCCCTACCAGCTACACATCTCATAACATTGATTATTTTTTTGCATTTAGTTTCAATCCGATCGATATGACCACTCCATGTCAGACGTGAATCGAACACAACTCCTAAAAACTTGAACATGCTCACTTTTTCTATTTCCTCATCATACAATTTTAGTTTCAAAGTCTCACTCACTTTCCTTTTAGTGAAGAACATAATTTTTGTTTTTTCCACCGAGAATCGGAACCCCCAGTCAAAACCCCATTCAACCACATTATCTATGGCATCCTGGACCTTGTCCACCAAGTGCTCAATATTTCTTCCTTTTTTCCATAATGCACCATCATCAGCAAACAGAGATCTACCAATTCCTTCAGGTATATCAGAAAAAACATCATTAATCATTATGATAAAAAGAAGAGGACTGATCGCACTACCCTGTGGCGTTCCATTCTCAACCACATGCTGGGTAGAGAAAGTAGACCCAATCCTAACTTGGATTTTCCTGCCAGAAAGGAAGTCTCGGATCCAATTGAACATCCTTCCACCAACACCCAACTTGTGCAGTTTGATTAAAAGCCCATCCCGCCACAACATATCATATGCTTTTTCTATGTCAAAAAACACCGCCACAACAGACTCTTTATTAGCTTGAGCTTTTCTAACTACATTTTCAAGCCTAATAACCGCATCCATTGTGTTTCGAGCTCTCCTAAAACCACTTTGAAAATTTGCTAATGCCCCTTTCCTTTCCAACTCAAAGGACAATCTTTCAGTTATCATACGTTCCATCAGCTTACACAAATTTGATGTGAGGGCGATTGGCCTGTAGCTACCTGGTTTGGATGGATCCTTCCCAGGTTTCCGGATTGGCACAATAACAGCCTCTTTCCAGGCGTTTGGGAGCTCTCCATTTACCCACACTTTGTTTATTAGAACCAACAGTTTTTTAAGCGCTTCCACACCAAGGTTCTTCAACATCAAATAGGAAATTCGGTCTTTCCCGGGGGCTGTGGATTTTGTAGTCTTAAGAGCTCTGATCATTTCTTCCAGGGAAAATTTTGCATCTAACCCCAGGTCAGTACAGGTCTTCACTCCTAGGGCCTCTCGATACTGTGCCTTAGTTTGACAGATTCTGCCTCTTCCCAATACTGTTAAGTTTTCAGAACTGTGGACCTTAGCAAACGCTTTCACCATGACCTCTACTTTCTCCTGGTCTGTTACAAAGGTTTGTTGGTCTGAGATAAGAATGGGGTAATCCCATTCTCGCCGGTCACCTCCCATCCTCCTGATCATGCCCCACACATCCCCTACTGGAGTGGTTCTACCTATTTTAGAACAGAACGCTCTCCAACTTTCCCGCTTTGCTTGTCTCACAGTTCTCCTGACTACTGCCACCGCTTTCCTGTAAGCAACAAGATTTTGCATGTTTAGGGTTCTTTTTAAGAGTTTAAAGGCACAATTTCTTTCCTTTACAACTTTTTTACACTTTTCTGTCCACCAGGGTACCAAGACTCTATTTTCTTTACCCTTACTTGTTGGAATTGAGGCCTGCGCTGCATCCATGATTACTTCTGTGAAATGATCGTTGATGGTGTCAACATCACTACACTCATCATCTTTATACATTGTTTCCTCACACAATTTTTTGAACTTTTCCCAATCTGCTCTATGGACGCTCAACTTCTTGATTTCCACTCTTGGAGTAACCCGTGTCCTTCCCCCCACAGAACAGAATACAGGGTAATGATCACTCCCAACTGTAGTGTCTTTCCGAACAGTCCACTGACTTATTCCTGCAAGGGCATTCGAAACTAGAGTCAAATCCAATACAGACTCTGTGCCATTTACAATATTGCATCTGGTGCCCCTGCCATCATTCAAACACACCAAATTGCATTCATCCATCCATTCTTCAATCACAGCACCATTGGGATCTGTATGTGTACCCCCCCACACTGTACTATGGGCATTAAAGTCCCCACACCAAATACTTCTACTGCTATCATAGCCTTCAATTGACCGAATATGCAGTAACTCTAATCTTGCGCAAGGATTGTATACATTAACTACGACCATCGGTTCCTTCTTGTCCCATACTTCAATAGTTATATACTCCATTTCCTTGCCTTTCCCTAATAGTCTATACGGGATGCCTTGTTTGACAAATGTCACACAACCACCCCCTCCACCACGGTCCCTGTCATTCCTTATGACATTATACCCATACAACACATAGTCCAAAGATGCTTTAAGCCACGATTCCTGAATACAAATTATATCCGGTTTAACATTTAGTTCTTTTACAAAATTCTTAAATTCCTGGCCATTGGCCATCAGACTCCTAGCATTCCATTGAAGGAGAAGCACCATGATTGAAAGAAAAAACATTATGTTTCCTGACTTGACTGATGTAGGAGGTTGTCCCTCACTTCTTCCCATGTCAGTTCTGTTAATTCCAGGTGATTCACTGCTGCCTTAACGATGAGCTGAATCTTCTCATGCTTTGATTTCACATCAGCTGTGGCGTTTATCACTCCCGCAATGAACGTAACTAATGCCAATTTGTCAATCACAATACAGTTTGCGTCAATCTGCGGGGCTCTTTGACCCTGCAGTGCATCCTGTGCCGGTTCAATCTGCACACTTTTCTTCGTTACTCTCACTGCTTCAGCATACGGTATCTTCTTCTCCACTCTCATTTTTTGAATATTATTTTCTTGTTTCATTCTCTCACATCCAGCATATGCCACACTGTGACTCGACCCACAACTGCAGCACTTCGGTTGAACACCGTCTCCGCACTGCCCATATTCATGGTCTCCACCACACCGCGCACACCTCCTCTTTTGTGTGCAATTCTTTGCAAAGTGACCAAATCTTTGACAGTGAAAGCACCTCATTGGTTTTGGAACATATGCTCTCGCCGGGTAACACATGAATCCTAAAAACACTTTTCTTGGCACACTCTCTTCCTCAAAATGGATCAGTATGCTTTCGCTATCCGTCTTTGTTCCTCCTTTTGTTGTTTTCATCCTATCCACAGAAATCACTTTCCCCCCTTTAATCTTACTTTTTAGATCATCCATTTTCACACTGATGGGAACCCCAGAGATAACACCCTTGCACCCACCTCCTTCCCGTGCACCCACCCTCCCAACATTTTCCACTTTAAACTTTCCAAATTGTTTCAAATTTAGTGCTTTGTTTAGCTGCACTTCATTTGCACATTGCACAAGAAGATTTCCATCTGCCAAGACTTTAGCAGAGACTATATCTCCCATTTTACTGTTCAGTTCAGCTGTCAAAATAAACGGACTTAGTTTTTTCATATTTACTTGCGTTTTTTCATTAAACCTCACGATGGCAAACATCTTTGTTTTCTCTCTAGGTGTAGACAGATCATCTCCACTGCCACAGCTACCCATTCTTTTACGCTTGTCACTTCTCTGCTCACTCACTAGCTCCGACATTTCCACTTCCTCCTCTTCTTGGTCTAAATCAATTAAATCGTCCCAACTGTTCACCGCAGACCCACTCACAGAACAGTCGTGCATACTCGCCGACTCAGATCGGATGAAATCAATCGGATTAGATTTTGCCGCATTTTTTCGAACAGATTTGCCCGAAGACGCCGACGCCATTCCCCCCTTCTCAGCTCACCAACCGACTCAGACCGTCACAACTCCGCTCCATGTTTCCTCCTCCTCCTCCTGTTTCCTTATGAAGGGCCTACCCCGACGCAGCAGCAGCCACAGCAGTGGAGAGGGAGAAGCCGATGTCCGGGGAGCCGCCGGGAGGCGCAGCGGTAGGAGCAGCCATCGGAGCCAAGGCGGGGGTGGGCACCGGGGGTGCGGCGGGAGGTTGGGACTCGATAACGCGGAGCCGGCCGGACAACGCGGCCACCGAGCGCCAGAGAGACAAAACCGCCGACAGGATGGCGTCCGTGCGCGCGCAGAGGAAGTCACAATCCTGGGCCGCAGCCGCCACGTGGGCCGCGAAGACTGCAGCGGAAGGATCCGGCTGGGGAGGGGGCGAACCGGGAACCGCCGGGGCGGCCTGGGAAATGTCAACGAGGCGAGGCGCTGGGGCGGGCACGGGGCAGGCCGACGAAGCAGGGGGAAGCAGGGGCCCGTCGAGCGCAGAGGAGGGGGGGCAGGCGCGCGTTGGCTGCAGGTCCCTGGCCTTGCGACGGCGCTTGCGAGGAGGGGAGTCCGGAGCCGGGGGGGGGGGGGGGGGGGGGTTGCACCCAGACCTGGCACGACGCCGCGGGCCGCGAGGAAGAGGCGGACAGACCCGGCATCCTGGGACGCCAGACCTGCGCTCTTCCGGGACCGGTCGGGCACAGGCGAGGGGGGAACGAACAAGTCGTTCAGGGAGCTAGGCGTCGAGCCCGAAACAGACGGGGACGCACGAGCATGGGGCAAAGACTGCATGGTGAACAGATGCGTTTCAGCCAACATACACTTGCAGACTTGAGAAGGCCGGGAAGTGGGCGTCTCCGGCTTTTAACTTGCTGTCCTGGTGGTTATTGGTTGACTGGATGTGGGCGTTGCTGGTATGATGAGCCGAGGATGAGAGCAGGCCTGTAGATCTGGGCAGCAGATCTACAGGCTTGTAGCTCCATTACTATGATGGGAGACCTCTGGGAACACCAAGTGCCACAGTGGGGCAGCTGCAACTGCAAAGTGCCAATTTGTTGTGTCCTTAGGCAAGACACTTCACCCACATTGCCTAAAAAGAGTCGGGGGTGTGTGTGAATGGTTGGTGGTGATCGTGGGAGCCAATGGCACATGGCTCGCTTCTGTCAGTGTGCCCCAGGGCAGTTGTGACCAGTAGTACTTAGACTGCTGTGTATGAAGTGAAAGAATAATGACATGTGAAGCGTCTTTGAGGCACTATATAAAATCGACGCATTCTTCTTATTATTTTTCTTTATTGAATTTTAACACCCAGTCATAGAGTACATCAACAGTAGTTACATACAATGGTTACACAGATTATACAAATTCCTGTACAGTAGCATTGTGGGTAGGAGATTGACGGGGAGGGGGTTCAAAGTTGCAAAATAATGTTCTTTTGTGTGTGTGCGTGCGTGTGTGCATGCGTGTGTGTGTGTGTGTGTGTGTGTACCTATGTTGATATGACAGGATGGAAGTGGTGCAATAGATAAAATAGTGTAAAATGTATTATTATTATTATTATTCTTATTAAAACATGTTGTGTTTTGAATCAATCTACATTGGCAACAAAATGATTCTTTTCAAAATATTCAAGCTCAAAACCATTGTCAATGTTTCATGCACACACCAGACTCGTATCAGGCAGCGTGGGTGAGGTTTGCAGCCACTGCGTGTGGCACCTGGTGTTTAAGAACTAACCAGGCGCTGCCGGGCTGAGCTTCTGAGTTCTGTGGGAATCCGTCTTCAACCTGCAGGTGGAGCTACAGTTTCTCCCTCTCTCTTTCCAACCACACACTTCACTGTATAATGAAAGGTTCAGTATACTGTGACGTGAAAATAAAAATGATACATGATTCTGTTATTTTTTAAGATAGAAAAGCGAAAAGCAGGGCATGCACAACAAATCATACAGCATGAGTAAATACTATGGAAGAAAATCCGCTGGAGCTGGGGATTCAAACCACTTCACACTTCACTGTCCCTGCTGAAGAAAAGCACCCCGATATGATGCTGAGACCCCCATATTTTACTTTGGGAATGGAGCACTGATGGTGATGAAGCAGGGTTATTCCAAAACTGACTTTGTATTCACCACTTGTCCATAAAGGGCAGATTTGTGGGATATATCACTAACATGCCTCATTTAACTCCCACTGATGACTGCTGTCGTTGTGTCCTTGGGCAAGACACTTAACCCTACTTTGCCCAAAGCCCCAACTGAAAGATCTCAGCTCCTGTGGACTCACCACCTGCAGGAGGATCAGTGAGGGGCTGGTGCTCTGTGTACTGGGTGCAGCTCTGACTGCCACCCCCTCGACCCAGAAATGGATTAAGGGGAAGAAAATGGATGGATGGATGGATGCCTCGTTTGTAGATTCCTCCAGATGAGCTGTGGATGTTTGCAGCTCCTCTTGAGTAACAACCGGCCTCATGTCTATTCCTGTAATCAGTGTTGTCCTTGAGTTTGGGAAGACAGTCGAGTAGTTTTGTGCTTTACAATTTTTATTTTTATTGCTTTTTTCTGCCTGAGATGTTGCTGCAGTACAGTGTTCATGGTTTTACACTGGTCCAGACCAGAGCAGAGAGGATTCATGGTCCGAATCAAGCGTATCAACCGAAAATCCACTAGAGGAATGCTAACTTTTTGAAAATTGTTAATGAAGCCTTTAGCATTTTACTTTGCACTAGAGCAGAGAAAATGGTCCGAACCAAGCTGCTACTCCACCTTTAGACCTGTCCTGCTCCACCCAGAGGCTACTCCACCTCTGCTGCTGTGACCCGTCCTGCTCCACCCAGAGGCTACTCTTTATTTTTTATTTTTGCTGCTACTGGACACCTGAATTTCTCCTACGGGGATCAATAAAGTATCTATCCATCTAGTTTATCACCACCGTGTGTGGAATTAATGAATAATGTGAAGAGATATATCAACTATTTGACTGTTGTGTATTTGTAAATCCTCCCAGCCTGGTCCGTTGGCAGAGTGAACAGATAAACACATTCCAAGTTTATTCCTGTAACTACATGTAGATTGGTTATCTTGCCCATCACTATGTGTACCACACTTTCTGGAGGGAAACACAAAGTTTGAGATTAGATGTCCCCCAAATTCCATTCCCCAGCTTTCACAACACCAGAATAATGTCTAACCAAACTGGGTGACTTTGAATCCACTCTTCTCTGTACCGAGAACTCAGCCAGTGAAAAAGCTGCTTCTAACACTCCTTGCCATATTTTCTCTCCTTTGTCAGCAATCGCGTCCTGCTAGCAAACTTTTCAAGCCGCGAGAAAGAATACACGCTCACATACACACACACACAAAGAAAGAAAGAAAAGCTGTTATTAATTATAAAGTGGGAAAGTCTTCATTAAAAAGGCGTTGTAGGAGAAAAGTGTCCCGAAGCTTGTGCTGTTTGTTCAAAAGTGGGTCCGCTAATCATGAAATATTACCGACCGATCCATCGGGGACAACCTCCACGCATGCCAGATGACAATAGCACTTGTTTACACTCAAATGAGATGTAACGGAATAAATTAGGCGCGCTTGCTAGCTCTGACTCATTAAACCAGGCCCTTTGAATGCCTTTCCAGCAGCGGCAGTAATCTCCCCAACATGAATTAAATATATATGGATGCGGCGTGTCAGTGCCCGGCCGTGGCTTTGTCTGGGCTAATGAGGTGCTACCATCGACTTTCACAACACGGGGGGGGGAATATGGAATTTTTTTTTTATGAATAAATACAACAAAAGTTTGGGTTGTTGGGGCTACAGTTTGGAGCGTGACATGGTTGGACTAAAGCATGTTCAGGTGAAAGCAGGATGAGCGATCGTTCAAATCCGAGGATGGAACAATAGGAGGCCGGGAATGTAAGTAAGTAAGTAATCTTGAATTATCTACCGCCTTTCACAGACCAGAGTCACAAAGCGGTTTACATTTGTTATTTTTTGGGCACTTGTCCTCTCACTCCACACAGAGATGGGAGCGGGGTGAATGACTCATTATCCTACAAGCGAGAACGTATCAATCAGTGTAAACCAGTAGGGGGCGGGTCCTGGCTCAAAAATGTCCATAATGATGTTCGCTGACATGCTGCAATACCACCCCGGGCCAGTGGGGGTAGACCTGGAATAAGAATTATTCAATGCTAACGTATAGCATCTTCTTACCTCTCGAAAATGTCATCACAGGATGGTCCAAAAGTCGCTCTTGGTCCAAAGCTCTGTTACTGATGTGTGTCAATGCTGAGGGGCGTGTATTCTTTTGAACCCGTCTAGTTCAGTCGCTGCGGAATTTTAAAGGCACTTATTAAAATGAATGGGGCTAGTGCCGGCTAACGCATTTTTTTTAAATTTTCCTGCCCCCGCAACCATTTTTAAACAGCATACAGACAGGAAAAGTGGTGACACATTAGCTTCAACACATCTGCTAATATTTACAATATTTACATGGTATAAACATGTAGCCTGGCTCTGCCAGACCCTTGTAGTTCTGCCATGCTCCACCAGAGGCGTCTGGCTGAACCACATGGGTCTGGTATCGAGCCCATAGCGAACGCCTTCCCCAGATTATTTTTTAATCGACCAATCAGAATTGCCGGTGTTACGTGGGGTTTGCACTGCCTTCTCAAGCTTCTCTCATGCAGCAGCGGAAGGAATCCAAGATGGCGGACGTTAAGTCTGCGAATCTTTATAAAAGAGTAAATACGATCGAATTAAGACACGGAGGTCACTTTTAATGCAATTTGAGGCGAGATGTTGATGGTTCTATGTTGATATATGTGTGTTTGGTTGAAGCACTGGTTCAGTGTTCCAGTTTACACACTATGCAGCAGGGTTGCCAGGTTTGGTGGTTCCCGCATATTTTTTTCCAAGAGACTTGTAGGTATTAAATAAACAGAAAGACAATAAACAGAATCATGATAGCCCAAGTTGATTATATTACGTTTTTAGCCAAAAAATCCTTCTGAGTGTTTTTTTTTGTGTGGGTATTCTCGCGGATTTTGGATTGGAAAATCTTGCTGGGATTTGGCAACCTACGGGAGCCGTGTGCTTCGATGTGAGTGGTTGAAAGCAGACTTCATTCAAGATAACGGACAAGTGGTCTATCCAATCACATACAAGGATTTTTTTTACAAGGCCCTGCCTTCTGAAATCCAACCACTATGGCTCAGTACCAGACTCATGTGTGAAGTGCAGCGAACTACATGGGTCTGACCAGAGTCAGGCTAATAAACATGTGCCCCCTGCAAAGAGTCCATCAGTGTATTGTAATTTGTATTGCTTTAAAGTTTCAATGCTTACAGTAAAACTATAACTGTGTTTCTTTTCTAGTTTAAGTGTGCTTTAACTTGATGTATAACATGCCATACCCCTCTGAGTGGGGACACTAGCATCATCTGATATAAAAAAATGAATTAATTGTCCAGGATCAATGTCAAAGTTGTTTGCCCAGAATCAATGTTTGATTGGAGGAGGGTTGGGGCCAGTGTTCATCATGGGGAGGGTTAGGTTTAGGGTTGAGGTTAGGGTAATGAGTTGGGGATCAACTCCAAAACAACATTAAGCTTTGATTAGTTTGCTTATGATTCACTTCATTGCATCCACAGTGAAGTTTGACCTCTGTATCCGACCCATCAGTGCTGCGAGTGAATCATACAAAATGAAAAATCAGCTCAAGGGCCTCTCTGCGGGCCTTGGAAACATGCCTCAGAGTCGGGGCCAGGATGAAGACGGCTGCAGTCTACAATGTCTG